CCCCTGGTCTCATTTTAGCTGATGATATTGAGCTTGTCCATTGTCTCTTATGCTATGTATAATCAATATTCATACTGTGGTCTTTGTCAACTACTAGTGCTTCAAGTCTTCTTTGTTTGGGGCAATCAAGGTAGTCATATACATATTGCCAGTTGATAAAGAGCCTTCCTCCTATCCTGATACTTGTTTCATTCATAGAGTTTTGCTTCTTGGATATTTTGCTGAGCATATAGATTAAAAAATTTTGGTGAGAGAACTCTGATGCACATCATCCTGATTTTAAATTACATGGCATCGGGAACTCTGATGCACACCATCCTGATTTTAAATTACATGGCATCCCTGTGTTTTGTTAAAATGATGTAGAATTCCCATAAAAGCAAAATTAAATGTTCTAAAATTTCCATTATTTAAAAAATAATGATACATATATCATTCCATGATATAATCATATCAAGCTGTACCATACAATTGCTAACAGAATTAATTTCCAAGCATTCTTTTCCTTTCTGGACTCCTGGACATCATTTCCATCTTCCCACCCATCCACCCCCATACCTCTGTACACCACCACCCCAGAAACCCTTATTCTACTTGCTGTCCCTGTAGGTTACTCAATCCTGGGTTTCATATACTGAAAACCAGAAAAACATGTAACACAAATTCAAGAGGGTGATCCCAATGGCTTATAACATATCTGAGATACACCCTAATATAAACAAACAAAAACAAAAGTATGGAAAACATGGAAAGCCAGATCAGGTCCAGCATGCATCAGAGGAGGTATCAGCTAAATCTTATCCAATTTTTTTTATTCATCCACACAACCACAGTCCAATGCATCATTGGAACGCAGGTAAACATTGTTCTTGTATTCTCAGCTTTGAGTCAAAATCCACCTGATACCGTGACGATACTCCTTTTCCCATGTACTTTTCCAAATCCAGCTTGATTTCTGGTATTTATCCATTTATGTACTGCTGGAACTATTTTTGTATCACCTTCAGAAAATTTTACATGTCCATCATATTAGATATATTGATAATGTCTACATTCTTTAAATCACATTACTTCAAAATGGGCACCAATATGGATTTCTTCTGTGGTTGGGTCAGATAACAGTCTTTCAGCATTCTTGGCATGAGTGAGACAGAACCTGTAGTGTTGCTTTCGTTTGTCGAACCATCTCAATTCTCAGGGCATTAATTCCCGAAACCTTTTCCTGCAATGACTAAATCAGAATGGACTTCAGTGCAGATTGGAATTCTTCCTTCAGTGCAACAAGGACTTTGAATAGTCAAGAAAACATCAATAAATGTATACCGTGTATTTGTTTATTTTCATCCAAGATCCATATAACATCAGCAATATTATCCCACATTCTATGTCCTTTTCTATATCTGATTTGAATTTTGGCCATTACTAGCAATGTATTAATACAATAATTTTTAAGTTATTTTACTAAAATTTTTACTTCCATGTAATATTAATGATATTTTCAATAATTTTCACTTTCTATTACATTGTTGTTCTTCTTTTTCTTTTGCCCTTTTTCATTTTTACAAATTATACCATGATAAAATTTGATTAAAAGATTCTCATCTGAAACGTTTTCCTTTAACTTTGGATAAGTTACGTGCAAATAACAACAGAGAATTTTGGAGCTTCCACTGGATGCTATCATGAGACTACACTCCAAAATAAGTTTCAAAAATTCCATTACAAAAATTGGAAGTGTGCACACGAAATCCCATGACCCAGGGCTGCTGATCTGTGGGACTCATGGTCACTGCTATAAGTCCTCAGTGTGGCCAAATTAAAAAACCAGTCCTCCAAAAGAGATAAAAGCCTTCTGGAAAACACAGCAATTCCATGCTAGACTGTGGGTTTTTATTTAGAAGCACAACTCCCAAAGAGAATCCATATACATGCAATCAGAGACTTAAAGGTCAACATCCACTCCATAAGCAGCTAATTGTGAGCAACTGCTTGACCCAGTCAGCCTTCACTCTATCACCTCGGACTTGTCCAATTGACACTGCATTAAACACTAGGGAGGATATGGTTGCTATCACAGCATGGGCATGGTACGAGTGGTTGAACTCTTCCATAGTAGGACAAATAACAACTGCGTCAATGATAATCCACCACCCTGTAAAAAATAGAAAATCAATAGCAAAATAAGCCATGCTATTGTGCTTTTCTCCCCTCTCAGTGCACTCTGCAAAGCTCCAGACTCTAGGATCTCAGACGTTTCTTTCAGGTCAGTTGTACCCAACCTGTCCAGTAGATAAGTTTGTCTTTCCTTAAAATGAAATGGATCGGTATCTCTTCCAGGAATGTGACCAGGTAAGTGTCTTCTTAAATTTTTGGCAGAGACTAGTGAGTGATTGCTACAGTGCTCTGTCTCCTTTGTTTAGGCTGTCAGTATCTGACAATGCTTCAAAACTATTTTTTAAAATTATCCATGCCTTCTACCTCCTGAGTGGGTAGTCAAATACTTCATTGGCCAAGTATGGCATTGAGAATGGAGGAAGGCGTATTAACCTTGTTTGCTGAAAGTGAGGAGGAATCTGACACTTTCTGATGAACATGAAGGATCATAGCATGAAGGAACATGGAGGATCAGTATGGATTGAAGTTCAATATAAGGAAGACCAAAAATCCTCACAACTGGACCAATGGGTTATATCATGATAAATGGAGAATAGGTGGAAGTTGTCAAAAATGTTGTCTTACTTGGATCCACAATCCACACTCATGAAAGCAGAAGTTAAGAGATCAAAAGATGTATTGCATTAGGTAAAGCA